ACTGAGCCAACTTCCCAGCCTGATTTTTATATTTTTAATTTTATCCTTAGTGGATATCATGTCTGTTCTGGGATATTAATAATATTTCAGAGTATGACTTTTGCTGTTCTGGGATCAAGCCTAGGACTTTGTGCATACTATGCCAACACTAAGCTATACCCCAAGCCCTCAAAGTATAATTTTTCCATTCCAGTGTAAGTAGGTTTGGTTTTAAGATTCTTGAGGAAACATTTGTTTATGTTTACAGGAGGACATGAGATAATTGAGAAAGAAATTGAGGTTTATTTAATTCAAAATTATCAAAGATATTGAAGTTTCCCAAGACAGCATTTTTAGTGAGGATTCCACTTAAAAGTCTTAGTGAATGTAAAGTACTATTTTTGTTTCATTAAGTGCCTCATATATAGGACATTGTATTAGATTCTGTGAGGCATTAAGTTAGATATTTCTGCCTTTATGAGCTTTTGTTTTAAAAATATACAGAGGGGATTATGAAAATTTTTTAATACATTAAGATTAAAGACTATTAAAGGTTTATATTATAGACTTTGACATTCACTATTAGAATATGTTAAGTAATAAGGTTCTGAAAAAGAAAAGATGTGTTGTGAGGGCCAAATAACTTAGCATTCGATTGGGTATATGGGATGAGGGCACAATGAAGAAGAGTGTTAAGAAGATTCGTTCATGTGATAGGTGACTAGTTTTAAACCACTGAAGGGTTAACTTTGTATTTGCTATCAACATATAAACATGTTATTTCATCTTGAGTGTAGCGTACTGTTCTTTGATTTAAAACATGTAACATCATTGGCAAAACATTTGGGAAACTTTTTTTCTCTGGTTGAGTGTTAGTTTCTACTCCTATTCTGATTATTCTCTTCAGATTTTTTTCAGATTTTTTTTTCACTTAGTAAAAAATCCCTAGTGGCTTATTTTTGTAGTTGGGATAGCCTGGAAAATTAAAAATATAACTGAGCCTTTGATTACACTGTGGCCACTGAAATATTGGAAGAGTAATGTTCACATTTTTACAGTTACGCAGATAGCCTTTCCCTTTGGCCTCACTTAAAACTGATACTAAATTTTCACGTTTAGAGTGATAAAACTATTATTTTTTTGAGTGGCTTAATTCTAAAGTCCATTGTTCCTCACACATCAGTGTAAGTATGTTTTGTTTTCAGCATTTAATTAAATGTATGTGGCTACTTAGAAGCATGTTTAAACATACAGAAAATTTCATGTTACTTCAAATTGATCTGCTTCCTTATGTGTGTGAGAAAATCCACATTATACAGTGGTATCACCCACTCTTAAAACAAGGAGAATTTTTTTTTTTTTTGGTCGATGTGGGGCTTGAACTCTGGGTTTGGGCACTGTCCTTGTGCTCTTCTGCTCAAGGTGAGTGCTCTACCACTTGAGCCACTGCACCACTTCCGGTTTTCTAGTGGTTTATTGGAGATAAGAGTCTCCTCTTTCCCTGGCTGGCTTTTAACCACAATCCTCAGATCTCAGTCTCCTGAGTAGCTAGGATTACAGGCGTGAGCCACTGGTGCCTGGTGAGAATTTTTTTTTTAAGATGATAGATTTATGTGTTGAAGAGTGGAGAGACTTTAGGGATTGCTTGATTTTCTGCATATATATTGTTATAGATGAAAATATTGAAATGTTACTTGTATAAGTTCATATAGTTATTTAGTTCTAGATTTATTTCTCCTGAATAGCTCAGTACTTCTACTTCCTGAAGGAGTTTGAAAATTTACCACATTTCTTTACTATATATCAAATGATTTAGTTGATTAAGAAAAGTAATATTAGTGTTTAGTGAGTTAGACTTAGAATCGTTTTCTTTGTGAGGTGGGAGAGGTCAGAAGATCCATAATGTTGCTAAAATTCCCTAATAAAGTTTATCTAATGTTGGGTGTTAAAATATAGTTTACCATAGCTTTGGGGTCCTTGAACCAGAAAACGGAATCAGCCATTACTATAGAATATCACAGGTCCTAGGCTTAAATTAAAGAGCAGTTCGTTTAGTTATTATAGTTTGATTAAAAATTAATAAAACAGGGCTGGGAATGTGACTCAGTGGTAGAGTGCTTGCCTTGCATGCGTGAGGCCTTGGGATCGACTCCTCAGTACCAAATAAACAGAAAAAGCCAGAAGTGGATCTGTGGCTCAAGTGATAGAGAGCTAGCCTTGAGCAAAAATAAACTCAGGGACAGTGCCCAGGCCCTGAGTTTAAGCCTCAGGAACAGCAAAAAAAAAAAAATTAATGAAATAGGGCTGAGGGTAAACTCTTAAGTGGTAGAGCATCTCCATAGCAAGCATAGTGCCCTGAGTTCGAACCCTGGTACCAATTTGAATATCAGATATTTAGATTTGTATTTTAGATTACTTTTATTGTAATTGGTTATATAATCTTTTTAAAAATTAATTTTATTGTAAAGGTGATGTACAGAGGGGTTACAGTTAAATAAGTTAGGTAATGAGTACATTTCTTATTGAACATTGTTACACATTCGCTCATTTTTCTCCCACTTTCCCTTGGTTATATAATCTTATATGTTTGTAAATGTTCTACAGTATCTCTAAGGAAAGTTTCTTAATCACTTTTAACTCAAATAGGAATTTTGTAACGAGTCAACTTTTGTTTAGAAAAGTTGCAAAAATTTGAAACAGTATCTGTGTTTTTTAAAGAAAGATTATTATTATAAAGGTGATGTACAGAGGATTTACAGTTATATACTGTCAGGTAAAGAGTACATTTCTTTTTGGCCAGTTATCCCTTCCCCCATTTGGCACATATATTTCTAAGGAAGGTTTTAAATATTTACTTATCTTTTTGTTTCAGGGAGTCAGAAACACATTTTTCTTCTGACACAGATTTTGAAGATATTGAAGGAAAAAACCAAAAACAAGGCAAAGGAAAGGTATGCACCAAATATGTAACTTAATTTTTTTTTTGTTTTGTGGTGGGTAAAGTTTGTGCTTGCTAGCTGGAAACTCTTTACCCTGTCAACCAGTGTCTCTTACCTCTATTTATTTTGGATTTTAAGGGTGTTGGGCCTGGGAAAGGGTGAGAGAAATGGAGAAAGGAGACAGGGACACTTAGAGAGATGGAATTTTATTTTTTTTAAATGGCTCGTTTTATGGCCTGACTAGTATGGCAAGACATTGGAATAAATATACACCTTTTATTCTTCTGGACTAAATAGGTTTTGATTATCTGTATGCACTGCTGTAAAACTTGAAATTAAGAACACGTCATTTATCCCAGTACATTTTGTAAAAATCATAGTATGCTAAGCAAATCATGGTGTTTATTTGCTTTATTATTTTCTCATAAATGTATTACAAATGTTATATTTTCCAAATTACAGAGCATAATAATACATAAACATTTTTATTCTAGAGTACACTACAGATTCAACAGACTGCCATTATATGGCTAATGGGTTACTAGTGACATTCATTTTACTTTTATGAATAACAGCAAAGATAAAAATTTATGTAAGTTCTTAGTGAAGAAATATACACACTGAATAGGATAGTCTTAAGCTACGGATAACTTGGTGAATCATTAAATTATGCAGAGGCTTTGAAAGGTATATTTGACATGTATATTAAATAAATAACTTGTTTAAAAGAGAGCTTGTTTTTATTTTTTCTGCATTTTTTCCCAAAATGATTTTGGATTTAAATTTTCTAATGACATTTAAAAGAAGTTTTATACTACTTAAAAGAAATGTACAGTGAGCAAATTGAACTTTTCCCATAATCCTATCACCTAAAGATCACTTCTTCTTTAAACATTTTGGTAAATACATTTTTACATATACTTACAATAAACCTGCATGTAGAATTTTACTTAAATGGAATCATAATAAACATAAATGGAATCATAATAAACAGTATGTTTTGAAAACTCAATTGATACTTTGTTGATTACTTTCTCATTACTCATTACATATCTCTGCAGTTTTTAATGATGTTGTACCATTACATTTTGTGTATGGAAAATTGTTTTTTAACAAGCCCTTGGAATACTCTTTATAGTTTTCCTAATTCATCTATTTCTTAGTTCCTCAAAAGGTAGAAGTTTTGAGAGATATGTGTGACTAGACATGCCAGATCATGAATATCCAAAACAAACGTATCTGTAATTCTAGTGTACAGTGCATGGTTGTTCATAAGAAAATCATTTTTAATTTAGTTTACTTTTTTTTGGTGGGCCGTGGGGCTTGAACTCTGGGCTTGGGCGCTATCCCTCAGCTCTTCAGCTCAAGGCGAGCACTTAGTTTACTTTTTTTGTTGGTGGTGGGGCTTGAACTCAGGGGTGGGGTGCTGTGCTTCAGCTTTTTTGCTCAAAGCTAGCACTCTACCAATTTGAGCCACAACACCATTTCTGGTTTCTGGTGGTTAATTGGATATAAGAGTCTCATGGATTTTCCTGCCTGGTCTTGCTTCAAACCTCAGTCTGGCTTCAAGCTTCAATCTTCAGATCTCTGCCTCCAGAATAGCTAGGATTACAGGTGTGAGCCACTGGCGCCTGGCTCTTGCTGAGTATTTTTGAGATTGGATTGTGTTTCCTACTTGAGTACATGACTAGACTGCAGTTTCCCTTCTTGAGGCTTCCAGTGGTTGCCGGAATGACAGGCACATGCTCCTATATCCAGATTTCCTCTTTTGAGATGGAGTCTCTTTTTTGCCGAGGCCGGCCTTGAACCATAATCCTCCCAATCTCAGTCTAACATTTAGTTCAGGATGACAGGTGTACAGCACGGTGCCATGTATGGATTGAGGAGTCTTCTGAACTTTTCTGTCCAGGCTGGCCTTGAAAAACTGACCTTTCTGTTCTAAGCCTTCCAAATAATAAAATTTCAGGTATGAGCAGCCACCAGTGCCCAGCTTAAACATTTCTTGTTGTGGTATTGGTCTGTGAACTTAGTGCCAAACAGGGATGGTACCTCCTGAGTCCTGCCTCCAGACCTGAAGATTTTTCTTTACTGGAATGCTTTATGAATTTGCATGTGATTCTTGCCACAGGGGCTATGCTAATCTTTTCTATATTGCTACAATTTTAGCATACATGCTGCTGAAGCATATCTCTGAAGATTTTTCTTTGGTGGTTTAGGGGTGAAATCAAGGATTTTTCATGCATGGTACACATGTTTTCTATGATAGTGCTACTCTCTGTACCTCTCTAAAATTTCTATGATACAGTTTGTTTAACTGTATATAGTCTTTGCTGAGAGTGAGGTATTACAGTCAAAAATTTATTCCAATGATAAGAACATCTACATTTCAACACTATACTGTGTAGTAGGCACTGTGGTAACAGTGTTACATGTTTTTTAATTCCATATTAAATTAAAATTAGGAAACTTGTGTATTTTTATAGAAAGGAAGATGAGGTCTGGATAAGCTCAAGTATTAAAGGATGTAAGTTCAGGTCTGTGCTTTTGATTTAATTCACAAGTTGAGATAGTACTATACTACCTCCTAAAATCTTTTTTTTTTTTTTTTACTACCTCCTAAAATCTTTTATTAGAGTTTCTGCTTTTTCTGTGTTAGGTATACAGAAGAGTGTTAGAGGCTAGCATCCTTACTTGTTATTTTATTTTTTGCCAAACCTGGGACTTGATCTCAAGGTCTGGGTACTGTGCCTGAACTTTTTTGCTCAAGGCTAGTGCTCAACCACTTGAGCCATAGCTCCATTTCTGGCCATGTTTACTGCTTACACTACTTTGTATTGTCACTTCCTGTATAGTTTTTCATCTACTCTGTACTCTGTCAGCATGACTGGACTATGATAAAGCTTGAAGACAGCCATTTTCACTTGTGGGAATTTTTCTGATTATACTTTTGAAGTTTTTTTAAAGTGATTTTCAAACTTCATTGATACTTTGAGAACTTTTAATGTGATTTCACATTGATTATCAAAATTGGTGCAAATGTGGAAATTGTTCATATCTAGTTGGTCTTTCCGGCAAACTTGGATAACATTTGTATAGCTTCTTTTAATGGATATTTTCTTATTTGATGGTTATAATAGTAGATGTATCTATTTTAGACTTTATTATGAGCTGAATGTATTCCTAATAAACACTTTGTGTCCTCATTATCATATCAACCCTATTATACATAGTTTACCTTCCACTTTACAAGTTAGAAAGAAGCCTCTGAAACACAATGTGGTTAAATAACTTGGCCCAAATCACTCTAATGAATAGGAGGAGAAATTTGAGACTACTTAGTCTGTCAGAAGAGGCTGTTATACTAACTACATCATAATGTAAAGTTCATGGTTGTATAACATGGAAAAAAGTGAAGTGACAAAGAAGCAGTTGTAATTTTATAATTTTCTTACATATGCATGGCATTCTTTCACAGGTCAAGGTTAAGCATGTTATAATTGTGTATTCTATCACCTGCTTTTGTAGTAGCTTTTGTTTTCAACTCTGAGGGGTAGTGAAATAACTAACTTGTATTTTTTTATGCAGACTTGTAAAAAAGGCAAAAAAGGCCCAGGAGAAAAGGGCAAAAGTGGAAATGGAGGAGGAAAGCCTCCTTCTGGGCCAAACCGAATGAATGGTCACCACCAACAGAATGGAGTGGAAAACATGATGTTGTTTGAAGTTGTTAAAATGGGCAAGAGTGCTATGCAGGTAATATGGTGTTCCTTACAATTTATTCATTTTTTTTTGCTAGTCTTGAGGCTTGAACTCAGAGCTGGGGCACTGTTCCTGAGCTTCTTTTGCTCAAGGTTAGCACTGTAACACTTTTCACAGCATCACTTCTGGCCTTTTTTGTTTAAGTGGTCCTGAGAAATGGAAATCAGGGCTTCATGCATGCTAGGCAAGTACTGTACGACTAAGCCTCATTCCTAGCTTTATTCATTCATTTTAAATTTTAGTCACTACTATAAAATATCATTTTGATTTTTTTCTAATTGTGTTTTATAACAATCTCCTCAAAACTCCAGCAGTGTGTCCATTCATTCATAAGTCCTTTTATCTGTATCTTTTGTGTGTATAGGTTGAACTCATGGTCTTGCTGAACTACATAACTAGCTCTCAAGTATTAATGATTTTTCTTTTGTATAGTTATGATTAAAGTGTGGAATTATTCTTGTTTGATTTTTTTTGTGGGCTTGTATTTTGAACTCAGGTTCTCAGGTCTCTAGGCAAGTGCTCTCGTAATGCCTCTAGCCCCTTTTGCTCTGGTTACTATTTCAATAGGGTCTCAAATTTTGCCCAGTCAGATTTGGTCTGTGATCCTCCTATTTATGCTTCCTGTCATAGCTAGAATTACAGGAGTGCACTGCCAAGTACAATTTTTTACATGAGATGGGGGTCTTGTGAACTTCTTGCCTGAGCTGGCCTTGAACCACACCTTCATGATCTCATTTTCTTGAGTAGCTAAGATTACGTGTGTGAGCTGATATACTTGGCTCTTGTTCCATCTTTTTTTGCGGGTGGTGGGGGTGGTGTGGGGTTTGAACTCTGGGCCTGGATGCTGTCCTTCAGCCCTTTAGCTCAAGGCTAGCACTCTACCACTTGAGCCGTAGCGTTTCTGTTTCTGTGGTTCTGAGGAATCGAACCCAGGGCCTTATGCACGTGAGGCAAACACTCTACCACTGAGCCACCTTTCCAGCCCCTCTTGTTCCATCTTTTAAGTGATCATTTTAAATTCATGTTTGAATTTCTTTTTCTCTGTTTGCATTTTCTTTCCTTTTTGCTGTGTTGATAATTGAATACATGTATACATTTGGCTTTTCAGAAATAAAACTATTGCTGTTTTATTTAGTTCTGACTTGATTTAAAAAAATACATTCTTCCCTTCAGTTCCATTTTGGGTTAATTTTAACAAATAAGTACATTATCTCAGTTAAATTGTACTCTAGTTTCTTATTTCATCTGTCTCTATCTATATTTCTATCTATTTGGTGGTGGCGGGGTCTGGTAGGGAGGTGCTATACCACTTGAATACCTCATCACTTTTGCCTTTTTGTTACTTTTCACATAATGTTATTGTTTTTGCCTGGGCCATCCTGGACTGTAATCCTCTCATTTATACTTATCACATATCTGGTATGATTAGCTTGTACCCCCATACCTAGCTTATTAATTAAGATGGGGGTCTTGTAAGTTTTTTGCCCAGACTCTCTAAGAAGCTAAGGTAATAGGCATGAGGCATTCCATTTGGCTATTTCCTTTTTCTGCCTGTTGAGATGCCTGGAATAGTTTCTTTTCCTCTCTTCCATTTCAAATAGGGGGAGTTAATCAAATGTCACTTTTCTGGAAAGGATTCTTGGGCATTACTTTGTTTCTCAATTATTAATGTGTGAGTGTGTGAGCATGTGAGCACATGCACGTGCTGATAATGGGACTTAAAGAGTCTTGTGCTCTTGCTTGGCTTTTCCTGCTCAAGGCTGGCACTCTACCACTTGGGCCACAGTTCCACTTCCATTTATAATTTTTTAAAAATCTGGATCTGTATATTCACAGTTTGTATTCCCAGAGTTAGACCTGTCATAGTAGGTGATAGTGATTAATTACACTATTGGTTATTGATCTAAAAAATAGTTCTCATATTTTAAGAAAGGAAACTATGCTTCTTCCAATTTATTTTTGGTTGGTTGTGGGACTTGAACTTGGGCCCTGGGCATTGTTGCTGAGCACTTTTATCAAGGCTAGCCCTCTACCACTTTGAGCCACAGCACCACTTCCAGTTTTTGAGAGGTTAATTTGAGATAAGAGTCTCATGGGGAACTTTTCTGCCTGGGCTGGCTTTGAACCATGATCCTCAGATCTCAGCCTCTTGACTAGGATTACAGGTGTGAACCACCCACCAGTGCCTGGCTATATCCTCCAATTTTATTAAATAATAGATATTGAATTTTTTTTTTTTTGTTGGTCGTGGGGCTTGAACTCTGCCTGGGCGCTGTCCCTCAGCTCTTCAGCTCAAGGCGAGCGCTCTATCACTTGAGCTACAGCGCCACTTCTGGTTTTCTGGTGGTTTATTGGAGATAGGAGTCTCACGGTCTCTCCTGCCTGGGCTGGCTTTGAACCGCGATCCTCAGATCTCAGCCTCCTGAGTAGCTAGGAGTATAGACGTGAGCCACCAGCGCCCGGCTTAGATATTGAATTTTATGAAATTAGTTTTAGCATACTTTTCCAAAGGCTATTCACTGAATTTTGCAGCTTCCCTACCATTCTAATTTGAGAAAACTGCACATTCCAGAATTAAATCTCATGTCCCATTAGTGTTAACTTCTCCCTTTCTTGGTCTAAGCTACCACCATCCTACTTCCTATGTTTTTGCCTATTCTGAACATTTCATATAAGTAAGATCATGTAATTTGTGGTTCTATATGATTTCTTTGATTTAGCATAACAATTATTAAGATACATCTGTCTTGAAGCACGTAGTAAGTACAGTATCCTGTTTGCCACAATTATTGTAACAATATACTCCACATTTTATTTATTCATTCTTACTTAGATGCACATTTGGTTACTTTCTACATTTTGGCTAGTTTGGATGATTCTTTTTAAGTATGTATACTTATGGTCTTATTTCTCTTGGGTAATAAATACCTTGGAGTCAAATTGCAGTGTCATATGGTAACTCTATATTTAACTTTTTGAGGGGCTGCCAAACTTTTTCCAAAGTGACTGCACATTTTACATTTTTACCAGCCGTGTTTGATTGTTCCAATTTCACATATCTTTGCCAATATTTGATATTGTCTTAAAAATTATAGTCAGCGGATGGGTTCTAGTAGATATGAAGTAATTATCTCGTTGTTTTCATTTACATTTTATGGATCACTACTGGAATTGAACTGTTCATGCATTTGTTGGCATTTTGCATATAGTCTTTTAGACCTGTCCTGACCCATTGTCTGTATAATTTTTAACTGTATTTTTTTTTCTGGTTCTGGGGCTTGAACTCAGGGCCTGGGCTCTATCCCTCAGCCTCTCTATGCTCAAAGCCCTCTATCACTTGAGCTATAGTGCCACTTCTGGCTTTTTCTGTGTATGTCGTACTGAGGAAATGAACCCATGGCTTCATGCATGCTAGGCAAGCACTCTATCA